AAACCCTTTGCCACAAGTCGAGCCTTATATATATCGCTCAATTGAACCATCTGCCTTGTGGTTCATAATATACACCCATTTGCATCCCACAGTTCATTTGCCCCTAGGGAATTCAGTCAAATCCCAAGTGTCATTCTTACAAAATGCTTTCATTTCCTCTACCATGGCAAGTTTCCACTCAAAGACAGCAAGAGCATCCTGAAAATGATTAGGTATACTAACAGAGGAAATTTTTGACACAAAGGCTCTATATGAGGAAGACAAATGAGAATAGGACTCAAAGTTAGAGATAAGATCATAAGTACATGATCTCATACACTTTCGTTTGGCAATAGGTATATCAAGGTCAATAGGCTCAGGAATAGTAATATCAGTAAACTCAAAGGGAACACGAGGGTTACCTGGACTCTCATCAGAACAAGGAGACAACAGTGGATGATTAGAACTGGTCTCTTGCACCCAAGTAACTTTCTGCCTTTCTTTGTCCCTGACATAGCCTTGTCCTTCCCTGTCCTTGATTACATCAGATTCTGGATTGGTAGTACCATTTGGTTGCTCCTAAATAGTCTACACACCTTGTAATGGTTTAGGAGCAATAGGAACAAGAACAATAAGAATCCTTTCATACCAAGGCTCTCCCTGAAGAGATGACTGTGACACCAAGTAGGGCTGGGACTCGAAGAAAGTGGCATCCATGAAAACAAACCACTTATGAGATGGAGGGTGATACACTTATATCCTTTTTGAGTTGGCGAGTACCCCAAGAAGACACACTTGAGAGAGTGAGGATCCAACTTATCCCGAGTAGGAGAATGATTATGGACAAAACAGACACAGCCAAAGATTTTAGGAGAAATGAAAAATTGAGACTCGGAACCAAAGAGGACCTGAAGAGGAGCTTGTTTCTACAACACTTAGGTAGGAAGATGATTAATAAGATATGTAGCAGTGAGAACAACCTCGCCCCAGTAGGACCGAGGCACGCCCATAGAGAAACACATACAGCGAGCCATATCAAGAAGGTGACGATTCTTGCGCTCGGCAACCCCATTTTGCTGAGGGGTATCGGTGCAAGAGGGTTGATAGATAATGCCATGTGTGGAAAAATAACTCGCTAACCTAGAATCAAGGTATTCACCTTCGTTATCAGAACGCAATATTTTAACAACTGCACCAAATTGAGTACCAATCATGTTATGAAAATTTTGGAATACCGAAAAAATCTCACTCTTTTCTTTCAAAAGATACACCCAAGTAGTATGAGAAAAATCATCGATAAATGTGACAAACCATCTATGACCTTTCAAAGACACAACATGAGATGGACCCCAAACATCCGAATGTATTAAGGAAATATGTACTAAGCTTTTATTAAGACTAGGAGCAAAAGAAGCTCTGTGGTGTTTGCTAAGTTGATAGGACTCACAATGAATGTTGGAAACATTATTGTTGCTAAAAACAGAGGGAAAAAACTACCTAAGTAATAAAAAAGACGGATGCCCAAGAAGCTTCGATGCCACAACCACCGGTCCTCCTTGGTGGATGGAAATTGGTCGGAATGATGAGCTAACTTGTCCAATGCAGGATATAACGACCATGTTCCATTTTACCACTACCAGTCGCCTTCCTCGTGATAAGGTCCTGAAACAAACAATGATCCGAAAAAAGGTCACGCTACAGTTCAAATCCCGAGTAGGACAACTCAATGACAAAAGATTAATAGAGAAATTTGGAACATGTAAAACAGATGACAAAGGTATAGAAGGAGTAACACGAATTAAACCTTTCCCAAAAACAGAAGAAATAGTACCATCTGTAATCGTAACTTTGTCTTGACCAGAAATAGACTTATAGTTTGAGAAAAGATCAGACGACCCAGACATATGATCTGAGGATCCAGAATCAATAATCCATGGTAAAGACTTATGGGACAGAAAAGCACTAGGAGAAGAGGCGAAGTTACTTGAGTAGGCGAATGAAGAGGAAGGTGCACCTATAGGAGTAGTGGAAAACTGGCGGTCAAATAAGCGCAAGACATCCTCAAGTTCAAAAGTAGACATGTCGGACATAGCATCAGAAGACTAAACACTCAGAGCACCCGGAGCAGAGTCATGTGAGTCAACTGCACTAGACTGATAAGGACAGGAATTAGGGCCACGTTCTCTCGACTGGCTTGATCGGCCTCCTCTATTACCAAACCGATCACCATGCCCCTTAGAGGGGGCACCATGAAACTTCCAACATATCTCAAAGGTATGTCTCGGCCGGCAACAGTAATTTAACCGATCACCATGCCCCTTAGAGGGGGCACCATGAAACTTCCAACATATCTCAAAGGTATGTCTCGGCCGGCAACAGTAATCACAGAACAAATTATCCTTGCCTGAAGGATGAAAAGAATGAACTGACAAACCAACCCTATCTCGAGAAGGTGCAGAAGTAATGCTAAATAGTCTGTAGAAATCAGTGGAAACATAGCAGAACGACGACTCTCTTTATTCTGGACATGAGCAAAGGCCTCCTGAAGAGATGGAAGAACATCCATGCCAAGGACATGACTTCAGACCGGATCAAACTCCATATTGAGGCTTTTTAGGAACTTGAAGACCCTCTATTGTGCAAGAAACTTCCGGTAATCAGCTGAATCAATGTGCAGACAGGCTTGTAACCCAGGAGGTGATCTAGGCGTTTCCAACCATTAGTCAGAAAAGTGTAATACTGAAGAACTGTCTGCCTCCCCCTGAATTGAACACTCAATCGACCAGCGCAACTCAAATGACTGAGAAAAGTTCTCCTTCTGGGAATATGTAGTAGCTACTACCTCCTAAACATCCTAAGCAGTCTCCATGGACAAGTAAACTTCACACCAATCTTAGGGACCATGGAATGAATAAGCCACCCCATGGATCAAAGAGTTGGTAATCTCCCATTGATCATAGCCAAGATCAGTAATATCTGGTGCTTGAATCCTCCTATCAACATATCTCATCTTCCCCCATATTCTTCAGAAAAAGTGTCAGACACTGAGACCATGCAAGGTAATTCTGACCATTAAAAAGAGAGATGGTGAATTTAAGCCTAGGATTGTGGTTTTCGGATACAGTAGTCATAATGGGACTCTCCCCTTTAGATGGTTGACTATTAGTGATAGATTCACTAGTAAATTCAGCCATCATAGTATGCTACTATCTAAACAACTTGTAACAATCACTGCTATGGGTAAAGGGAAGAAGCAGTAACTGGAAACAGAGACAATATCACCAACAGAGCATTAAGGGAGCACTATAATCAGGCTAAGTCAAGTAATAGAGCCATATACCCCAAGAAATAAAAGAGGAGGAATCTTACAAGTCAATCAAAACAGCCCAAAGAAATCTTAAACAACCAAAAAAATAAAACCAACAATGGAGAGAACAAGCCAAACAAAAATGATCAGACCATGGAACAAATTTTTCGACTCCCTGTTAATTTGAGAAGCTGTTGGCAGTGCCCTAGGAGGCTGGAGAGAGAACCGACAGAGCTTGGGGTTGTCGGCAATGCCCTAGAAGGCTAGAGAGAGGGCCGACAGAGCTTGGGTGGCTGTCGGCTGGCCCTAGAAAGCCAAAGAGAGGGCCGACAAGGCTTGGGTGGCTGTCGGTTGGCCCTAGAAAGCCTAAGGTAGTGTCGAAATAGGGTGTAGCAGTCACAGAAGTGTATGGGTGATGATGGGTGGTTGCCAGAGAGAAGGGTGAGAATGTGGTGGGGTTGTGGTAGTGCCGACAGGTGGTCTAGGGGCCTACTGGCTCTGATACCATGTTTGTTTGAGGAAAACAAAACTTAGGGTTGATAATGATATCACACCCCTTATATATTAATCAACCTCAGAAGATTACAAGGAAGGAATCAAACATACATTCTAAATAAGGAAACAAATCCTAACATATATTCTAACAATATTACGGTCTGGTTGTGTCAATTAAGTGAAAATGAGGGATTTACGGGAGGCTTTCAGAGTTCTATAAAAATCTATATAACCTCATATTGGGAATAATAGAGAGAGATGATGGAAGATGCTCTATAGATGTCTCTCCTAAATTTTATAGCAGAACACTGTAGCATTGATCATTTATCTTCTTTTCTTTTTTTTCCAGGCGGTCAGCTAAACATCAACTTGTGGATGTCGGGGCATTATTTTCTGGAAATTGCAGAAATCGGTCCTCAAACCTGATTTTTGAATAATTTCATCTTTGATCAAAGTCTTATTTGGGTTCACATTGTGGGTAGCTGCTACCACCAGCCGACTACATTATGGTGCACTAAGCAAGTTGTGGAATCTTCCTGCACTTCACAGCTAAAGGGTACCATCAGCTTATTAACTAAAAAGTTGTTCCAAAGACATAGCTTTAGTGGTTAGACTAAGTCTACACATATAAGGCATTGGGTAGTACTTTATAAATATATCAAAGCCTGCTATTAGCATTGCATCATGGGTTAATTTCAATCTATTAAGAGAAGTCATTTTCCCAAAAACAAACTAGCCAAACTTAAGTCATTTGATTAAGGGAACCAAAATTAGTCAATCTCCATTTCCTGTGGTTAATTAATACACTTCATACTTTGTCAAACTTTAAAATTACATAATTAATTCCCTTGGGCATTAAAAGATGACATTGAACAATAATAATTTCATAAAGAATAAGAAAGAAATTTGCAATAATAAATGAAAAGCATTTTCCATTTGAAGTTTGATGCTAGAGGTACAAAGAAGGAACTAAAAAGTCTACTAGCAGTACCAACAAAATTCCATGTAAAGAACAAAAATAATAGTTAGTAATTATTGAAATAAATAATCAACATAAAAACACAGTGACCATTATGTCAATATCATAATCAGGAAGCATAATTTCACCCACTGGCCTTTTTTTGTTGTTGTTAATGTGTGAACTGGCACAAGATGATATAAAAACAAATAAGTAATAAGTAAAAAAAAAAAAAAAAAAAAAAAGGTGATCAAGAATTACCTCAACTCACAAGTCAACTTTGGATTTTTTTCCTGTGACAATCTGGAATATCTTCAGGCCCCTACTGAATGCTTCATTGAATAGAATCCTCGTCTGCATTGACTGGAACCCAGGCATCCATGATAGTATTGCCACAGGAACCATAACAATCACTCCAAACATTATATCATATATCCGAGCTACAGAAACAACAATCTTCCAAATCATGGTGTTTTGCAGAAAGGGACGAAGTACTTGAGCTATTAAGATGAAGCCCCACCCAGTAGGAACGAATGCCAAAAGACTCGTGAAAAGATCCACAAATTTGAAATGGGTGAACTTGAGCAAGGCAATGATCACAAGAACAGCAAGAATAATAAGAAGGAACTGAACCAGCCGATAGTAGATGTGTTCTTTTGCAGCGTATTTGTCTCGAGCATAAGCTATAATTACATAAATGCCAACAGCAACGACCACATAGATCCAAGAGAGCAAGTAAACAGCAATACTTTTGCTCCCAGCAGCAATACCTAACTGGTATACAACCCCATACTGGAAAAAGAAAAACCTGAGGTCTAGGATTATTTCTAATATCTTTCCCCAAAGGCCCGTTGTCCTCAGATGATCCTGCTCCTCATACCACCATTTTACCCAGCTCTGTTCAGCTTTTGCAAATACACCACCATCGTACCAAATCCAATTCATGAAGTCATCGAAATCGTAAACGGTCTTCAACCAATCAAAACCTGAAGGATTGAAAACAAAAGGAGCCATGATCCATGACATCACCAAAAACCAACTTGTGATGGTCAATGCTATGTAAACAAAAGTGCCAGTAGCTACGGGGCTGTATGAAGCATACACTATGAGTATCAGCCCAAGCTCAATTGCCTTCACAAAATGGCTACGAGCATAAAGCCTATAATTCTCAGCAAAATTCTTATGCTGTACGACAAAACCACGCCCAGTTGCCCGGTATTTTGCACCACCATGAAGAATAGTTCTACCAAAGTAGTGGGCACGAGTTCCCATGGAGAATGTATAGAATACAGATGAAAGCTGAAGCTGCATTGTTATGAAATCCCAGATGGCTCGAAGGAATCCATGCTCCAAAGAATTTTCCACAATCATCGGTAGGGCAGTGAATATACCAAGTTGGATGATGAACTGCTGGTTCAAGATTGTTCCAAGTGCTTTGTTGTTATTGGTATTGTTTGCCACTGCAGAACCCTCAAGTCCACTAAGTGCTAGATAAAGTCGGCCCCACAGAAAAGCATAGACAGTCAGGATTACCATCTGTGTGTTGAAAAAGAAACCTACAGTAGTGTAGAAGAACGACAGCATCCGGAAGAAGTCCAGCCTGTGCCCCAATCTGTAGACATCTCTACTTAGGACTTGTTCACCATTTCCGCTAGAAACCTTGGCTTCGAACATGGATATTTGATTCAATCCCACATCCCTTCCCTTACCAACTTGGATGTACTCATGGTGAGTGACATTGCCACCTCGCAACGTGCAATTGAAACCGGCAAAAATGTCTTCACTGATATTAATTACCCTGGAAGCTTTGCTTATCCCACCCCGAGTCAAGAACCAGAATCTATCGAAGACATCGGGGTGTCCATAATGCATTCGAATTTTCAAAGGGTTTGCCAAGACACGCTGTCCCAATGTGACAAAACTCGTTTCTTGAGCCGACATAAACCATGCCAGTGATGAAACAGAACCAGTAAAAATGTGTTCTCGAACTCCCAAGATAGTAGGCTTCCGGATACCATAGTATTTCCTATACTCCTCCAACAGATTCCGCATCTTGAGCGCTTCCTCAAAATAATTATCTTGGTTCATGTCAATTGTCTGAACCGCATCACCACGAGTGAAGATTAGGGCATGGTTCTGATTCTCCGGCTTTCCCTCTCCAAGCTTCAAGGGGCCAGGCAACTTGACCCGGTAGATCTCCACTTCCTTCTGCAACTGTTGATCATACTTCACAAGAACAGAGTAATACTCCTTTTCGTCCCTCCCCGAGGAAACCTCATCAACATAGGCCACTCGAAGAGCTTCATTATTTCTCATCAGGTACAAAATTTCCTCAGCATTGGGGTCTTTTTTTGCCTTTTGAGCCCCATATATCTGGCAGGCAACCACGTAAGTGTATTTCATTAACACAGTCCCATATTCATGACCTTTGAACAACAGACTCACTGAACTATCTGCTCTACTCAAACTCCTCATAGATGGTGACCTTTCTGAGCTCAAACCATCAATGCTACCGCTTTGCCTCATTGAAGCAAGTTCCCGTGACCCTTCCCTGATGTCCATCTCTGATGCCGAATCAAGAAAAGCCAGCATCGTAAGAGCCCGATAGTAATACATCATTCCCCTCACAGTGCGGGAGAGGGTCTGGCCTCTGTATGACGCCCAAAGCCTAAGATCTCTTAGCTTGTTTGTCCATATTTCACCATCATTTTCCATTCCTTCACGGCGCATCCGCTCCAAGAAATTCTTCCACTCATCTGCATAGATAGTCTGCAAGTAATATAAAGTGGAGATTCCGTCTTCATTGTCAGTTCGAAGTTGTTCCTTATTATATACCACTTCTTCATTGTAGTAAGGGGTCAATACACTAAAAGCCATCATTTTCTCAACCTGGGGAGCATGGGGCATGTTCATAAAGAGAGAGTTGCTGAAAAATGCAATTCGGCGTCTTGCCTCGAGATTTGTAGGGATATTGTGCATTGAGTCCCGAGATATAAGAATTGTGTGCAAGCGCCGAGCTTGGCGGTAAAATGTCTCATTACTGGCTTCGGGCAACTCAATGGCATTCTCAAAAAGCAAACCCCCGCTAGAAATTGGCCTACGAGAAGCCAACCCATCCTCTCTAAGTTGATCAATGCGCCTCTTCTCTTTATAAAAGTCTCTGATGGCAACCTCATAAAGGGCCTGTAGAATATTCACCACCTTGTTAATGTCTTTCTTAGGCTTAATCAACAGCTCAAGAAGAGTTATCAACTTAGCATGAATCTTGGGAAGTGCGGTCATTTTGAATGTCTTTGTGAACTTCTCAATCTGAATTGACTGATCAATTTCTTGAAACAAAACCGTGATAATGGAATGTTCCTCAGTGTCGCATTTAACAATAGCAAGCAGCAAGTGCCTGACACTGTCATAAGCTTCAATAATGGCGCAACGCCTGTACTCATTCTTGCACATTTTATGCCAAAGCCGCTTGTCAGGTGCATCTACTAACTCTTTGGCCTGGCTGAGAGCGAGCAGCAACTCATTGCAGAGGAGTAAACAAGGCCAGCGGATAACCCTGACGCTCCAGGTATTTTGAGGCAGCTCTAACAGTTCAACCTCACGGTCACTGATAATATCTTCTTCTCTGAATATTGTAATCATCTCATTCCATATCAAGGCAAACTTGTTAGCCTCCACCTGGTTCGATTCGAGCTTCTTGAAGGGTCGGCCAAACCCATACCTCAGCTTCAATCGGTAAATAGCATCGTTGAACTTGTTCTTCAGTGTTCCCCTAGTATTTAAAAGCTGCTCCTGAGGCATGAGATTAAACTGTATTGCACTAGCAAAGAACTGGAATCTCAACCTCAACTGCTGCACGTTTCGTATCTCACCCAAATGAGCAAACAAACCAACAGCTGCTCCGACCAACGAGGAGTAGATTGAATACCAAATCTGCAAATCCATGAGGTAAATTAAGACCACGGGAAGCCACAATAACACAACTGCAAACCTATTGCTGTTACCGAAAAACTCATGCCACTCATATTTCACATCCTTAAGATTCAAGAGGACTTTTGTCGGAGCAATCATGGGTTTGACCTGTAGGAAGTAAGTGAAGCAAAATTTTGTAGCAAGTACCACTACCCAGAACAAAGAATATTTTATATTGTCCACAAGACCTTCCCTTAGGCCACGACCCACAAAAGTTCGGCTTTGAAACCACCATGACAATAAGTAAAAGATCCTCCAATTTGTATTCTCAATGAAATTCCGAATCCAGGGTATAATAAAGAGAGCCAGTGCCAGAACCTCTGGTGCAATGAAAACCAATGCAACCTCCAGAAAATTTATCACCCGTGTATTCGCCTCCCTGGACCACCCTCTATCATGGTTCTTCTGGGTCCAAATTCTACCATAGAAAACCCCGAAAACAATGATCCACCCAGCTGCAACAACACTCTTCAACATCATTCTCACCCCAAGAAACAGAGTCTCTCTTGAAACCAAACTGTACTGCATCCCGGCATCAAGAAGCGACTGAAGAAATCTCAACCCACTCCAAGTAAAGAACACAGTCAGAACTAGAACCTGAACATCACGACTCTGCAACGCTATCCAGGGATACCCCTTCTCCTCCCAAGCAACAATAATAGAAGCCTGAAGAAACATTATCAACATAATCCAGAGCTTATCAAAGCTCCTAAGCAAGTTCCAAAAAGACCTCTGCTCTACAAAACCAGTCTTACCCACATGTTTGCCCTTACTTGTGGTCACAAAAAAGTTACTACCCACATCAATTGGCCATTTCAACTTCTGAAAACACCTCCTACTCCAAAAATACTCATTTATATCATCGTAATTCCGCCACGCAGAATGCGGGGCAGTCCCATTTCTACTATTTTCCACCTCGGCACGAATCGTATCGTAAATGGGTTTCACAACCTTGTTCAAAAAGGCGTTTTCGCCAGAAATCGAGGGGAGAACAGGGCGACCCGTGTTCTCATCAATGTAATCCTCAAGAATTTTATTGAGTTCCATAGCCATATGATGAAAAATATAGCAAATGCATTCAGGTACAAAGCGGAGATTAGCAGACTCACCCCAAATCAGGAGATAGAGAGCGACGTAGAGCAATTCACGTCGATTATCGGAGTCTCGGCGAGTACTCTCAGAGATCCAGACGTTGGATTTGCGGCCGATGTAGGAGCACCAGGAGGTGTAGTTCTTGAGGAGTTTCCGGCGGAAGCGGCGGAGCACGGCGGCGTCGAGAGAATCGATGTTGTCCGGCGGCGGCGAGAGCTGCATCTGGGAGTTGGCGAGGTGGAGGACGAGGTGTTCGCGCTGGTTCCGCACGTTGTCGTGCTGAAAGCCGAAGAAGGCGCCGAGCCAGTCGAGGAGGTCCATGTGATCGTGCCATGGGGTGAAGGGAGGCTTGCGGAGGTCCCCAACGGCGCGTAGAGCTGCGGCGGCGGCGCGTACTTCGGGGAATCGGAGAGAGGGGTGGTCGGCGAGGAGGTTGTGGATGGGAATTATGTTGTAGGGTTCGTCTGATGGGTCGGGCTTGGCATGGGGCCGGTTTGAACCGTAGGGTGGACCGGGGTTTTGGGGTTGGACCGGCGGAGTACGCTGCCGGAGACTCATGGCATCGTAGATCTGTAGAAAAGTGGTGGTGATGGTGTGATTGGTGTGTGTGAGGGTTTCAAGAGAGAGAAAGTAGAGAGAGAGAGAGAGAGAGAGGTATGGACTCGAGAGACAGTGGATGAGTAAGGAGACTGAAGAGGTGCAACGTGCAGCCTGGGGAAGAAGAACTGGGCGGGCTAAAGTGTAACGGTTATCTTCCCTGTATCTCTTTCGTTAATGACAACTTGACAAATACATTGAAATTTTGTCCAAAAAAAATTAATTTAAAATGTAGAGACTCCAATGGTGTATTATAAAATGGGAATTATTTGAGATTAATAATTTTTTTTATAACCTGATTTATAATAATGCTATATTAATAAGTGGTGTTAATTTTTAATTTATAACACATTTAACGATACTCAAACCTTGGCAAATGACATGTCAAACAAAATTTAAAAAATTAACTCACATTCAAATATATTCTCTCAAAACTCTCCTCATATACATTTTGTCTTGCTACTTTATTAGGGAGATTGTAAGAAAAATAAATTGTGTAAATGTAACATTACTGTAAAATTTATATATATATAGTTTATTAATTTTCTTTTTTTATTTATAAAATTGTGCTTGAAAATTTTGATTTTATTTCTCTTTCTTTTATAATTTTAAGAAAAATACTAAAGATAAAAAATTAACTCACATTCAAATATTCTCTCAAAACTCTCCTCATATACATTTTGTCTTGCTACTTTATTAGGGAGATTGCAAGAAAAATAAATTGTGTAAATGTAACATTACTGTAAAATTTATATATAGATAGTTTATTAATTTTCTTTTTTTATTTATAAAATTGTGCTTGAAAATTTTGATTTTATTTCTCTTTCTTTTATAATTTTAAGAAAAATACTAAAGATATTAACAATCTTGCTAACACACTCACAAGTTGATGTGAATTCCACTCCAAGTAATGATTGATTTTATCAAAACTTATGAGTATGTTAGAAATATTGTTAATAAATATATAACTATCCCTAGCATTGTTATAATTTTAATTTATATCTATTCTCTCATTATTGAATTTTTCAATAAGTTTTCCAATATTTAGTGTAATACCCGAAAGTTTAGAAAGTTCAAAATTGGTGACGAAAAGTTTCGCATGCCATGATTGATTTGAAGAGTTGAGGTAGTCTCTAATTTTCAATTACAGGTCATCATGCTTTGTGTTTTGATAATAACTTGTTTTTGGGAACCTGGTTCAAAGTAAATTTTTTAAATTTTTTGACTTTTTTAGATTACATCTCTTTTCTTCTTCTTTTTTTGTATATTTTTTTAAAAATAAAAAATTCAATTTTTAACCTACTTTTCAAAATAAGCCAATATTATACACTGTTTTTTAAAATTTTAGTGTATAGATTAATTGTAAAAAAATATTCAATTGATTTAATAATTGTAATTACAAAATTTTATCATATTTATATTTAAAGAAATAAATAACAAATATAATTTTTGAAAACAACCATTCACAAATATAATTATTAAATTATGTGGCTACAACTATTGATTATATGAGAATATATCATCAATATTAAGCTTGCGTCCAGGAAGTTGAACTCATACCCTTACACAAAATAATAGATCCAACCATTAAGCCAAAGGGTAATGCTAGAACAATAATGATTGAGCCTCCGTTTGGCAAGAAAAAGCCCAGGCTTTTTTGGCTAAAATAGCTACAAAAAATAAAATAGGCTATTTTAGCCACAAAAAACAAAACATCAAATCCAACCCATAATCATTACAATCCTCTCTCACAAAAAAAGTCAAAAAAGCCAAAAAGCCCTTCCCAAACCAGGCTAAAATAGCACAGGCTATAATAGCCAAAAAGCCAAAAAGCCAAAAAGCCAACTCACTTCCCAAACGGAGGCTGAGACTTTTTTTTTTTGAGACCTCGCAATTCTTTTTGGATCTCAATCATTGATGGTGTGAGCCCCACACATACATCAATGTTGAGATCCAAAAGGAGTTGTGGAGTCCTTAAAAAAAGAGGGTCCCAAGCATTTTCAATGTCAGAGATACCAAATTTCCTATCAAATAAATGATCAAATGTCTCACATGAGTACGTGGTTCACAAAAGTGTGGGATCTACATCCATGTGAGACATTTGATAATTTATTTGGTAGAAAATTTAGGACTTATAATATTTTCCAAAGCGAAAGGGTAATGCTAGAGCCCTAGTTGAGAAGTAATTAAATAAATGTCAAATGCAACCCCTAATATAAGCATTACTCAAATTAATTAAGAAAATGTCCACGCCTGAGCTCTTTTGCATTAATTCCTCAAATTCTCTAATTAAATTTTGTGTAATTATGAATAAAAAAATAAAACAAAAGTATGAGTTATTAGCTTTTGATAAAAGTTTAGCTTAGGGGGGCCACCAAAAAGTAAGAATATTGGCAAGATTTAAAACCAAATCACAACCCGTCTTTTGGGGGTAAGCAAATTAAAGAAAGTACTATAATATATGCTTCCTATGGACCGTCATGTCCATAACCAAGGAATGGACACAAAATTGGTAGATCTTACTTGAAAGTCAAGAACAGCACATTTTTAAGTTGATAATACTTTCAAATTTGAAGGAAGCTCCCTCATTTTATGCACTAATATGCTAAACTTTGAACCTTTGACTTGGACATCCGAATGACACTTCCTTGGATTTGCCTTTTTCATATGGATTCTTTTAAATTTCAAAAATTATAATGGCCTCCCTTATCATCTCATCTAAAAGAGTAAATTACATTTTGCCTTTTTATGTTTTATCAATTTTTTATGAAAAATTCTATTTCCACACACGTACTTATCTCAGTGCATATTATTTCTTAACGCGCACACTTATAAATTTTATTAGATATTATTTGTTTCATTCCACACATCGCATATTCTAAGTATAACCCTTAACTCAAATATTGTACACACATTTTCCACCCAAACACACCCACACAACCACCGAATTTCGACAGTTAGCTTCCGGTAAATCAAACCATGGATCTCTTTATCTCTCTCACAAGGACGGATATGCTTCACCAAGCATAGCACCACTTTCTAAGTTTCCAACAAAGAGCAATGTGACAATGCAAATTGCACAGCTTCCACCATTATTACCCGTCCACCACTTATTTCTGAAATGGATCTAACATATTTATTGAAAGAGGCGGCAAACAATTCGTTTTGAAGATTGTTTTTCAAAAAAAATAATAATTTCAATAGCTGATTATATTCCTCTCTATTATTTTTCATTGGATTCGTAACCGAAACAAATTAAATTGATTCTAAAGAGAGAGAGAAAGGAAGAAGAAAAAAAGGGTTTGTTTGTTATTGTTGGTGGTAGAAAGAGAGAAGAGATGAGATATGTTAGTTAGGGTTTTGATATTCATCATGGTCATTTTATTTTAGAATATAATTGTCATTAAAATAAAATTTCATTAAGTGTGTACACTGAGGTGAGTAGGTGTGTGAAAATAGAATTTTCCATTTTTTATTGGATAGATTTTACTTTATTTCTTTGTGGTTTGAGCCGGATGCGAATTACATCCCTAACATTCGAAAATCACCATATAACCTTTACGTGATTTATGAACTAAAATGCACTGTTAGTTTTTTTGTCTAAGATAACGGGCTGTGGGAGTCACACACATATATAGAGTGGATGTTTGGAAAGTTGCTATTTTAGTAAGTTATTTTAGTTTTTTGTTATTTTAGTAAGCTAAAATTTTTGTATTTGGGAAGATAGTTAGATTTTTTTATAATTGAATGTGATATTTATGAAAGAAAAAGTGAAATAATTATGAATTTAATGTGACATTTTGTCGTACTAACTATTTTAACATATTTTGTCATTTTGTAAATTTTAGCCCAAAAAGCTAAAAAATAGCCTTTGCCAAACACCTCCAGAGAGTATGTCTCCTTTTAGTATGAAAATGCCCTTTATACATCTTCAAATTTACTAGAGAATGCCATTGTTTTTTCCTCTATCTCTGTACTCCATTTCTTTTTCACCAACACCTCCTATTCATGCTGGTATATTTCTGATAAATTAAACCCCATAAAAGTATCCACATGGGGCTCCAATAACGGTAACCATAGAGTTTTGATTACCACCATGATCAAAACGATTTGTTACTATAAGATTTTTGGCTACTTTTTTGCTATAATATTGTTTGATTTGTACAATATGTATTTATATTTTGTTTGATTGATTTGTAAATATTATTCCATGAATCTAATTCCATGGATGGGTCTTCTCATGAATTTGATTCCATGATTGATTTATCATTCTTAGACTTTATGGATGGGTCTTCTTTGATTTTATCATTCCCAATTTTTTTGTAACTCTTCGATTTGGTTTTAATGGCTTTAAAGTTGGCAGAAATAATTCTCCAAGTGAACCAGTAAATAGTTCTCAGTGAAAAATTATTCAGTCCATCTTGAAATTGAATGACCTTTCTTGGATTGTGTTAGTTGCTGGGAAGGGTATACAGTATGTGTTGGTGTTTAGTTTGATCGATTTGAATCTGATTTCTTGGTGTTTGATGAATCCATTACATTTATAGTGCGCGCGCGCGCACACACATATATATATAAATTATGAATGTGTATATGTATTATATTATGTTTACAGTCTCTGATATATATCAGATATATTTGTGGAATATCTATATTGATTTATATCTATACATATATACATCCTTCAAAATTCAAACTATTTACGAATCAAAATCGAAAAATATAGCAAGAATTAGGCAATCTTCAAGGGTAAAATTTTTAAGAAATTAAGGGGAAGAAATGAGAGAAATTAAAAATGGGTTTTGTTGTGTGTTTTGTGCGAAAGGCAGCACTCATATTTTGTCTCCGACAACGGATTCCATCAAGCAAATAGATACAAGGGCTCCAATAACAATAACCATGGTTGCTGCTATAAGAGAGAGAAGGTGTAAGAAGAACTTAAGCTAGATGAAAGGATGAAGAAGCTAAGAGTGGGTATAAAGGTTAATTTAGGCCAAGTTTGACATGATTGAAAAAAGACAAAAAGTCAAAAAGTCACTATCTTATTTAAGTCATATCACCTCTCTAACACATCACTTCAAACTCAACCCAAACCCAACCCATATTTCATAAAAAGTCAAAAAGTGCACTTATTTAGTCTTCCCAAACTA